CTTGCTTCTGCACAAAGTTTCCTGGGAGTTGGCAGTTCTGAAGGAACTAAGAATAGAACAGGGTCCATGTTGTGGTGCTGTTTCTTTGGGAAAATAGCTTTCTCCGTACTTGGAAGTCACAGAATGCTGATAGGAGGACAGTCTGACAGGCTTTCTGTTTATAAAGCACCTGAGTTTGACCCTCCTTTGAATTGCTGTTGATTCCTGTGAAACTCATTCTTTGGATGGCAAAAGCCATGATTTTAATGAGATCCCAGCCCAGTGGAGGCATTGTCCCCAAGTGCTTTTTTTGTAACAGCCGTTTTGGATCACATACAGATTTTTTTTAATGCCAAATTCTGCACTCTAGCCCATATTATTACACTGTTTTCACATAGATTAAATGCCTATTAGTTATACATTTTGTCTGAAACACACCAAGAATATGCATTTTCTTGCTCTTTTTTACGTATTAAAAATATATATTTTTATTGATTCCAGAGACGAAGGGAGAGGGAGAGAGAGAAACATCAATGATGAGAATCATTGACCGGCTGCCTCCTGCACGCCCTCTACTGGGGATCAAGCCCACAGCCCGGGTATGTACTCTTGACCATAATCACAGGATCTTTTAGTCCACAGGTCAGTGCTCTCTATCCATTAGCCAAATCAGGTAGGGCCCTTTTCTACACTCGTTAAGCATCCATAACCATGAACTGTTGTCTTCCATAATACCTTAGGACAGAAATTTGTCAATATTCTTAACCTGTGGGTCAGGCTGGCTACATAATTTGCTGGGTCCAGTACAAAATGAAAATGTCTAACAACTACGAAAGACTGCTGACTAGGAAATCTAATCAGAATATACAGCATGGCCGGGACCGGTTTGGCTCAATGAATAGAGCGTCGGCTTGGGGACTGAAGGGTCCCGGGTTCGATTCCGGTCAAGGGCATGTACCTTGGTTGTGGGCGTATCCCCGGTAGGGGGTGTGCAAGAGGCAGCTGATCGATGATTCTCTCTCATCGATGTTTCTAACTCTCTATCTCTCTCCCTTCCTCTCTGTATAAAATCAATAAAATATATTAAAAAAAAAAAAGAATATACAGTATGAAAGTGGGAGATGATGAGGGAAGGATCAAGGTTGATAACAGTGCCTATAACACTTGCTTAAAAGCTGTCTCCTTTTGTAGGCAGATCAGGGTGCTATGTTGCCATTAAGTACTTTCCTTGGGGGGTCTTTCTTGATTCTTACTATATACATGTTTGAATTTTATGGTAGAGGCCTTGTCAAGTCATGAAAATGAAAGGTAGGCCTGGATATTGCAAGGCAAGTTGCAGTGAGTGCTCAGTCTGAAAACAGCCATGCCCTTTGTGAATTCTACCAGTCAGTTTTAGGGTCTACTCAGATCCAAAATGCCTTTTGATCCTGATGAGAAGTCTAAACCCTATGAATAAGAACAAGTTATTAGTAGGCATGACAAAAAATGGCATACTCACATCTTACTTTTTTATTCCAACATACCCTCATAGTATTGCATTCTTCTGCAACTAAATTGCCACACCCTGATAGACATTCCAGAGACTGCAATCCAGGAAATGCAAATAAAATTCATCTGAGTTAAGAGCCTATGTCCTTCGTACATAAAATAACAACAAGAACAACACAATTTAACAAATTGACAACCTGGGAAGTTGCTCTGAGAAGGGAAAATAGTAAAGCATATAAAATCATCATTATGGATAGGACTTATTCTATACATTTTTGAATTCTGGAATGGAAAAACAAAACCATTGAACAATGAAATAGGGATATTTATAAAAGACAAAAGATAAAAAATGTTTCTTCCATCTCTAAGATTTCATGGAACGCACTCATCTTCTAACAAATTTTACTATCAGAATTGTAGACTTTAGAGTTTGGGAGAGAAAAAAGAGTATCCATTTCTATTTTGTGTCCCACACCAATTGCTGTAATTCTGAATTGCATAAAAACCCTGAACTCTAAAGTTTGTTTTAATGGGTTGAACATACTGACTCCCTTTGTAACAAACAGAATATGGCCAAAGGATGAGATGTCACTTCCAAGATTAGGTTACGGAGAGACTGTGTCATGTGTCTTGCACAGCCTTGCTTGCTTGCTAGGATGGAACTTGAGGACTATGACATGAGCTGTTCCACGCAGAGATCCATTGTGATTCCAGGCACAAATAGTATTGTACAACCAAGAAAACAAACAAACAAACAAAAAAAAACTTGTGCTATAACACCATCTACTGGGAAACAAAAGAAAGTGCCCTACCTATCAACTTGCTGCATTGTTGAGAGCAAAACAGTATCTAAACAAGAAAAAAAAAAAAATCATTAACGCAAATGTGCAGGCATAGAAACAATCCATCAGATACCATGAACAACCAAGGTCATTTGGGAGCACAGGAAGAAAAGGAAAAGTCTCCAGCAACCAAAGTCCTGGAATATTATGATTTAGATGACAGAGAATTCAAAATTGCAATTATGGAGAGGTTCAATGAGATATAAGAGAACTCAGCTGGGCAGCTCAAATAGCTCAGAAATTCAGTTTATGAACAAAAAGATTACTTTTCCAAGAGACTGAACATGTAAAAAATAATTAAATCCTGGAGTTTAAGAACTCATTAAATGAAATGAGAAATGCATTAGAGAGCACTGGAAATAGAGCAGACTAGATGTGAGAAGTAATTAGTGAGCTCTAAGAACAAAACCTGGAGGAAGAAGAGAGTTAAGAAAAATAAAAGAAAGACTTCTTCTGAGAGCTCTCTGACTCTATTAAAATCAGCAACACAAGGATAAGGATCTATCAGAAGAAGAGAGGAAGGGAACAGAGAACCTATGAGAACTTCCCACTTGCATGGAAAGACTGGGCTTTAGAGGAAGCTAACTGGACATCTAAATGCAACCCAAAAAAACTTTCCGCAAGACACATTTTATTCAAACTGTCAAAAATTAAGGTAAAAAAATTCTCAAGGTGGCTTCGGGGTGGGGGTGGGAGGATTGTAACCTACAGAGGAAGCCCTGTTAGATTCTCATCAGATTTTTCAATATAAACATCACAAGCCAAGAGAGAGTGGAAGAAAATATTCAAACTCTTAAAGGAGAGGAGCCATCAGCCACGGGTAATATATTCAGCAAATTTACCCTTTATATATGGAGAAATATTTTTTCTTCCCAGACAGACAAAAACTGAGAAAACTTACCACCATAAGACCTGCACTATGAGAAATATTGGAAGGAGCTGATATACCAGAAACAAAAAGTATATAATACTTTGAATACCATGACTGACAGAAGCAGGAAATTGCAACTCTACTTAAGGTTTTAAACAATGTAAAGGTTAAAGGCGGGGAAATGTATTAAAAATAACTAAAATTAGAGTCCTGGCCAGTGCTGTTCAGTTGGTTGGGTGTCGTCTGTTCAGTTCTTTTATCAGAGCACATGACGCAGTTGCGGGCTGGATCCCTGGTAGGAGGTATGCAGGTAGGAGGTATGCAGGTAGGAGGTATGCAGGTAGGAGGTATGTAGGAGGCAGCCAGTGGATGTTTTACTCTCCTATAAATGTTTCTCTCTCTCACTCTCCCTTCCTCTCTCTCTAAAGCAGAATAGAAATATTAAAAAAAAAAAAAAAACCAAACCCCCCCCCCAAAAAAAAAACCTATTGCCATTTGGTGGTGAATGTACAATATAAAAAAGAGAATTTATGTTAACAAAATTATAATATAAAAGAGGAGGCAGTAAAAGACTGGTCAGGTACAGTTGAATGAAGATAAAAGACAATCAGAAGAGAAAGGACTATTTGTGTGTCTGAGACATTTACACATATGCAGTGGCAATCACAAAACAAAATCCAGAACCGAGACATGAGATGTACAAAAAGTAACATGAAAGACTGGGCAGAAATTGTTTACAGAGGTATAGAAAAATGTCTGCTAGCTCCTTTACTATTTGAAGGTATTCTTTAATATATTAGTTCATTTAGAGCTATATTACTCATCAATGGTTCTTGAGTTTTCAGATACTTAAATTATGCAAATGTTTATAGTATTTTTAGACTACCTATTAAGCTTCATATAAAATATCTGCAAAGGCTATTTTTCCTTCTTCTTTTTAACCCTTACCTGAGGATATTCCTCCAATGATTTCTAGAGAGAGTGGAAGGGTGGGTGAAGGGGAAGAAAGAAACATGGATGTGACAGAGACACGTTGATTGGTTGCCTCCTGCATGTAACCGGGAAATATGCCCTTGACCAGGAATTGAACTCGGTCCACAGGCTGACGCTTTAACCATTGAGAAAACTGCCCAAGACTTTGCAAAAGCTCATTTATCTTTGCTATGAATTCTAGCAATAACCACTCATTGAATTATAAACATAATACGGGGGTGAGGATGGGGAGAGATTAACCAAATAATATATAATCATATATGCATAACTCATGAACTCTGACAATAGTGTGGTGAAGGCCTGCTGGGAGATAGTCAATGGAGAAAAAAGGGGACATCTATAATACTTTCAATAATTAAAGATAAATTAAAAAAAAAACCCTCACATCCTATATAATAAAAGCTTAGATGACATTGTGCGACATCATCACAAGATGGCTGCCACAAGATGGCTGGCAGGGGAGGGCAGTTTTGGGTGATCAGGCTGGCAGGGGAGGGCATTTGTGGGTGATCAGGCCAGCAGGGGAGGGCAGTTGGGGGCGATCGGGGTGGAAGGGAAGCAACCAGGTGACAATCAGGCTGACAGGGAAGCGGTTAGGAGCTAGCAGTCCCAGATTGTGAGAGGGATCCCAGATTGGCTAGGGTGCAGGCTGGGCTGAGGGACAACCCCACCCCACCCCCTGCATGAATTTCGTACACTGGGCCTCTAGTAATACAGAACAGTCTTGTGGGCATAAAATCATCCCTGCTTGCTGAAAGCAAGTGTTAGCATAGGGGAAGAGCTACAACTTGGAGACTTAACAAAAGCTATTTTCTGCACACTTTCCATAGACAGTAGTTAACCCAGGGAATGCTATTATGAGGTAGTTCAGTATCATTTCCCCCTAATTTAATAGTAATAGAGATGAAATGAGGTTGTTCAACTAAGCTTGCAGGAAAATCAAGTCCCCATCCCTAAGTGATTTCTGGATTCTCTGTGTGATGAATTTGCTGACTCTCTTTGGTGCCCTCCCTTTAGGCACAGGGACAATTTTCACTGACACAAAAAGCAGTGCTGATTGTGATCTTGCAAGTGCCGCGCCATTCTCAATCGTTCTCCTTGGCTGAGCTTTTGTCAAAGACCACACAGGCTACTTTGTTTTAAACCCCTCTGAGGACATTATGACTTCCTCTTCTATCTTCACACAGAAATGCAGTGTTTGGGCAAGAAAGGGGAAAGTAAAGTAAGGGGCATGAAAGAGTGTCCAAGGGACAGCAAGGATAGCAAGGACTGGGGGCACTTAATCAAGGCCCTGAGAATGGTTCTTCACAGGGATGCTCATTACTTTAGCTAAAAGCACAGTGAAATTCCAGATCCTTGGCCAAATCCTAGTCTGACCTAGTGTAAAATGGCATGCTAAAGCAAAATACATTTCCTCCCAACTAATTTGCTGTTAAAAATTATTCATGCCATTGGTGTGGACGTTAAGGCCAAACTATAATATGCTTTATATTTCCAATGTAGAAAGTTTATTTCCTGAATCCCGGTCCTGAAGATGGCAAATCTAAGTAATAAAGAAATATGTCATTTATTGGAATAGACTGAGCAATTAATTGAAATGGTATTTGAATGATGGGAGGAAAAATACTACAGAATTATTGTAAGAACTTTAGAATATGCTTTGACATGCTAAATTAAAATTTAATAAAAAGCATTTCAGTTTAACAGCTTTGGTCTTCTACTTGAGGGTAAGAAAGGAGAGGAAATATGTAGACTCTGTTAGGAATGTGTCAGATTCCTAATTATGTTCTTTCTTCCACAGCAACGTATAGTAGTATATTTATGCAAAATTTTAGTACTGCGTAGACCAAAATATTACACCTACATAATAGAAATAAAGTTAATATCTCAGTCAATGAGCCAGTACATCTAATGCTGCAGGAATGTGAAATTTTGGTGCATCACTCAGCATTGTTTTTCAGGTTTATTTTTCTTTCACATAATGCATTTATTTCCCTTTGATTTAACCGTAGGTATTTTAACACAAGATATTTTATGTGTTAACTTCAATCTTCAGTAGCTTCAGATTCATTCTATTAGTTAAAATAAATTCAGGCAGACATTAATCCAATTTGAATAACTACATATGAATAAGGCTACATACAGCACTACCTAATCCGAAGTGTAACTCAATTTCATTCAAGGCTTCTGATGCACGAATACAAAAATACTTTATTTTTTCAGATGCTTTCATTTTTGAGGTACTCTCCTGAAAGGGATGCCAAGAAGTATTCAATCAGAGAGGTTTCAGACTTTCTGCTGGGCTATGATTTGAGGAGGAGAGGAGGGGAAATGACTAGTGATGATTCCATACTGGAAATCTCCGTGGAAATATGTGAGAGTATAAATTAACTACATACAATGGACTTGTTGTTCCCTGAATCTTTTGGTGTGGAATTGTACATTGTTGTTATTTTCAAAAGCTATTCTGCTTTTATTACGATGCCACCTTACTGTATTACTTATATGATGTCCAGTTCATTTGTCCCTGACAAAGCCCAGGTGACCTCATCTCTTTCTTTGCACATGTAGGTGCATATCTGGAGCTGTGTGCACGCTCTGGGTTAGTTTGCTTTGAAGCAGCCTGGAGGAGTCTCATCCAGTTTTTAGCGGTTGGTTGGTTTTATAAAGCATCTCAGCACTCCCGGGTCTGCCAGAAGCAATTCTTTGAAGTTTTCATTTTCTTGACGGATATTGCTTTGCTCATCCGGTGAAGACTCCGGGGTATAAAAACAGAGTTTTCTAACCGTTCTGCCGAAACTGCACTTTGGTCTCTAGAGATCCTTGTCCTTAGGAATTGAACCAGTCACCCGGCCTGCATCCTTCATGACTGAGGTTAGCTCAAAACAGGAATGGCAGGAAAGCTTTCCTATGCTTCGGGTATGAGGCAAATGTGCTTCTGTAAAACTTGTGGCTGAGGAAAGCAGCCAGGGCCTGGTTGAAGAAGACGTATGTGACCACGAGCCACCAAGTTATGTTGTGGAATCCCAAGGTGACGGCCATGGAGATGTAGATCATCAGCTCTGCTAAGTAGTTAGGGGAAGAAACATGCTCAAACCAGTCTCCGAAGGGGATCCGGTGGTTACAGTGAATGATCACTCCTGAAATGAAAAAAGGAAACTTCCTGAATGTCTGAAGCCGTGAAAAGTAAGTTTTACCATATCACCCCCCCCCCACCCCAAATCATTTACAAAAACTCCTATTAGAAAAGAGTATGATAGACCGGTGTGCAAACTGCCCTCTGTCACACTTCCATTGTCAATCTACTATGTATTAAAGCCACATGCTCAGGTCACACTCTCAACTGTCAATGAGCACAGGGTCATAGGCCTAACGATCCTCCATGCTGGAAATTAAGAACTCAGACTCCAAAAAGCCTAGAGAAAGATCCTCTCTTCTCCTGCCTACCAGCCGTTATGTCAGTAGCCTGGGCAGAGCCCTCGGAGCTGTCCTCTCACGAGGAGGAGCTGGTGGTGGGGGTGTGTGCCTGCACCTGGGCAGCCTTTACCCAGTTCAGTGTCCAGCGGGCCAGACTGTAGATGTCTCCTTGGCGCCCTGCACAGAGTATGAACTGCTGCAGCGGAGTCATGGCGGGACAGGCATTCAGAGAGTTTCTGGCCCAGGGTTAGTTGAAAGGAGTGCTGCAGAAACTGTAACTGAAGGAGGCATTATGCTTCCAGAAAAATCTCAAGGAAAAGCAATGCAAGCAAACAGCAGTGGCTGTTGGATCAGGTTCTAAAAAAAAAAAAAAAGGGGTGGAGAGATTCAACCAGTTTGTGTCAAAATTGGAGATAAAGTTCTTCCAGAATGGGGAGGCACCAAGCTATTTCTAAACAACAAGGATTATTTCTTATTTAGAGATGGTGACATTCTTGGAAAGTACACAGACTGAAATAAATCACTTGAAATGATATCATGTGAAGCTGTCCATTTCACCGACGTTCTGAAATATTTCGTCACGTAAATAATTTCTGTATCACTTTTATAATTAACTAATGATATCCAAAGTAATCGCATGCAGTGTCTCTTAAAATTTAGTTGCACTGTAATGGCATAAAAAAAAAAAAAAAAAAGGGCTCAGACTCCAGAGTGAGACTGCACAAGTCCAAACCCTGGCTCTACACCTACTGGCTGTTACCACTGGCCACCAAATTATGTTATGGAATCCCAAGGAGGTGGCCAGGGGGACTTTAGATAAGTTGTGTAACCTCTCTGTGTCCCAGTTTCCTCATCTGTAAAACGAAGATAAGACTGTACCCACCTCAAGTGAGCATTTGTGAAGCTGTATGTAAAACACTCCACCTGGGCCCAGCACAAAATAAGCACTGAGTAAATGCTGAATAATACTATTCCGTTTTTAGTATTTCAAAAAGCCTAATAAAAACTGCACCTGTGATAAGTCAACACAAGCTAATAGTCAAGTTTTTTTGGCTGGAATGATACTAACTCGGCATGGTCATACTAGTGCGCACATTCTGGTCAGACACATATATGCAGGCCCCAAATTGCAGGCACAGAATCTATAATAATAAAAGCATATGTTATTAGACCAACAGTGGAATGACTATCTGGACATCCTTCCGGATGAAGCCGCAGCAGTGGGGTCCAAGGCAGAGGAGGTTAGGGGTGATCAGGCAGGCAGGCAGAGTAGTCAGAAGCAATCAGGCAGGCAGGTGAGTGGTTAAGAGTGACGAGGCAGATAGGCAGAGGTGGTTAGGGGCAATGAGGCAGGCAGGCAGAGTGGTTAGAGGCGATGAGGCAGGCAGATAGGCAAGCAGTTAGGAGGCAGTGGTCCCAGATTGTGAGACGGTGCAGGGCAGGCTGAGGGACCACCCCCCGCCCCCAAGCACAACTTTCATGCACCAGCCCTCTCATAGAATCATAAATGCTATGACTAGTGGGGCCAGAGAGAGCTCTCAGTCTAAGGCTCTCATTTCACAGATGGGAAGATCAAGACCCAGAATGAATATTTGATCCATTAGTCACCTAATTAGGGCAGGAAGGAAAAGGATGAAAGTACATGGACAATTAACTTCTGAGTGTTAAAATCCACATAAAAAGATGTCTTACCGGCTTTATTTTTCCTGAGATTGCCGAGAATGACATGGCACTTATACTGATGGACCGATGACCAGATGAACATCATCATACCGAGGATATGGAACCACCGAGTTTGCATCAAGAGATTTTTCCCTACCACATAGACTGCAGAAATAAGGATTGTGTTATTAGCCAATGCTGCAAAATTTCAGAGGCTCGGGGAATTGAAAAATCACACTGTCAGCAGAACACATTCATCCACTTATTCTGTTCCTCACAGCTATAAAATTATGCTGATAGGACTTCCCAAGTACAGGAGGAAGAACACCAAAGCAGCCTTGTTCCTCAGCCAGGGGCAGCTTCAATGGCACCTGGCAGAAAATTCCGTAACAATACATCCTCTTGTTCCTTCTTCAAATGCTTTAAGCAGAGTTCAGCTCTATTTCCTACTCTTTGTGATGTATTCTCATGTGGTGAGACAGCCCTGCTAAGTTCTAAGCCTGGATTTATGCCTTCTTTCTTATATTCTACTGTCAGAAAAACTCTGAAACCTCTCCCTGAGCTACTCTCCTAAGCCCTGAAGGCAGAATGCTGACTTGATGGGCTCAGTCAATAAAACGACTGCAAGTGAAGGCTAAGGGTGGGGGCTTCTCACAAAGAGGAGAAAAGTCAACTCCAAGATGGAAAACAAAACAGTATCCCTTTCTGATTGGACCGAACCTCGTCAGAGAGACTTCGTTTTAGGAAAAGAAATACTCCAAGTATTATCTTCTTTCTTCTCCAGCTGTGTGGAAGAAGAGGAGAATGTAGATCTCTTAAATACTGACATCAGAAAAACAAATGAAGGACTTCCCTACCATCAGCAGGAAGCAGTCAGGCTGGTCAGGGACTTGGCTCAACGAAGTTGTCCACTGATAACAGGGACCAACCTGCCTGCGGCTCTGAGGCCAAGAGGTAGGAGAAGCAAGGGTCATGCTGCTCCATGTGGGTACCTAGAAGTAGGACCCAGAGATGGCAGCTAATGACCAATGGAAGTCCACCAAAGTCTGCCTGTGTTGATTTCTTTCTTATTTTAAATATATTTTATTGATTTTTTTTTCCCAGGGAGGAAGGGAGAGGGATAGAGAGTTAGAAACATCTGAGAGAGAAACATTGACTGGGGATGTGCCCGCAACCAAGGTACACGCCCTTGACCGGAATCGAACCCGGGACCTTTGAGTCCGCAGGCTGATACTCTGTCCACTGAGCCAAACGATTAGGGCTGATTTCTTTCTTTCTTCCTTCCTTCCTTCCTTCCTTCCTTCCTTCCTTCCTTCCTTCCTTCCTTCCTTCCTTCCTTCCTTCCTCCCTTCCTCCCTCCCTCCCTCCCTCCCTCCCTCCCTCCCTCCCTCCCTCCCTCCCTCCCCCCCCCTCCCTCCCTCCCTCCCTTCCTTTTTAAATATATTTTATTGATTTTTTACAGGGAGGAAGGGAGAGGGCTAAAGAGTTAGAAACATCGATGAGAGAGAAACATTGACCAGCTGTCTCCGGCACCCCCCCACCGGGGATGTGCCTGCAACCAAGGTACACGCCCTTGACCGGAATCGAACCTGGGACCCTTGAGTCCGCAGGCTGATGCTCTATCCACTGAGCCAAACCGGTTAGGGCTGATTTCTTTTTAAACCTTGCTTCTACACAATCTCCTTAGAGTCTCTTAATATTCACTAGGTTTAGCCATATAACTAAAAAAAGTTATTTTTTTGTAAGTGAAAAGTATGCAAAATATGAAAAATTCAGTTTTTAATCAAAAGGGCTTTAAGAACAAGTCACTATAGAATTAAACGTTGAAGCAAGTGTCTGGGAATTCATATCACTACCCAGTCACCTACTCTAAATGCAGAGAAACTGCCTGTGAGGGAAAAGAGTAAGCTGGAATTATCATGCAGGAAAGGGGAAGCAGGTAGAAGGCTCATATTTACTGAGCATCTTATCTTGCAGAATGTAATCATTCTTTTATTTATTAGTTGCTTGATGAGTGTTGATTGAGCCTGGATCTGTTGTAGATGTGAGGCATAAAACAGTGAACACATCAGGCAAGATCCCAGTCCTTTTAGATTCACATTCCAGTGGCAGCTGCCACTAGAATCGAGTAAACAAATCAACAGCCCAGGTAATTTCAGCTAGAGAAGGTACTCCGAAGAGAAGAAAATAACTGTGTGATGGAGAGTGACTGGGGAGATTCTCTAGACTTGAAGACAAGGAAGTGTGTAGAGTGTAGATCGAGTAGTTTAGAGACATTCTTTCTTTTCACTTTCACCCTAACCCTCTGAAACCTGTAAATATCCCTGATTACAGATGAGGGTTCGAGGCTAAGAGGAGTTAAATAACCCAGGTTCAGATTCGGGTCCATCAAACTCCCAGCCCATTTCTATTGGACCCCGCAGCTGGCAAATGCCCCAGTGTATTCTCTCTCAATGAATTCCTGAAATCAGTTCTCCCCATAGTGTCCCATACGAAGGACAACAGATGAAACAAAAGACTGCTGCAGAAGGGAGTAATAGGAAAGCTTTTTGTGGATGCCACGGCTGCCTTTTCTTCATCCGTTACCCAGGAGTGAGGGCAGAAGGTGGGGCCCAGCCAGCAGAGAAAGCTCCAGAAGAGATAGGGGCTGCCAATGGGACTAAGAGACTGAAAGCTGGCGAGTTACCAAAGTCCTTAGGCGAGTTCCTTCGGGGTGGGAAACCCATACTGTACACCAAGAACGACAGCTCAAGCCTTGAGATACTGGGCTGCACAAGAATACCCACATCAGGAGGCTCAGGGAGAAGAACATACTTCAGTTCAGAGGACTTAGATGGAGAGATGCTCGCTGAGCAGCGGAAGCCAATACTTAATTCATGACTTGAGAAACAGCATCAATAAGATGTACTTGAAAACCAGGCCTTAAGCCATAGAGGACTTGACTTGTACTCCAGCAAGACAGAGGGGCACGCTGGTACTGAAATCAAACCTGAGGAGACAGCTCCCTCCCTGAGGACTGGAAACCTCTACATCTTGGTCTCAGTTTACGAGGATGAATGTATGAAGCCTTGGACCGAGAGACAACAGTCATGCGTTGTCTGGGCTGCAAGGTGAAGTCAACCTCAGTAAAAATTCACTTCAGTTCCCACAGATTACTCGATTCTTTATAGTAAGCACATACTGTTTTCACAAAAATGACAGTCATATATGTTCGCTATTCTCCTCCTCCCCACAAAATAAAACCCGCTTCATTTCCTCCTCACTCATAAACAACAGTCATGGTTTTGGTTCCCTCTTCCAGGTTAGTGAGAGGTCAGACTTGTTAAGACACAGTTGTGATTTACCGCAGCACTCCTCTGTCCTCGCCCCACGGCGGCCCCGCTTACAGAAAAGCTGTGCATGAGGGCACCGCCCCAAGACCTCAACGGCCAAAGAAACGGCCCCCTGCTCCCTCTTCACATCACGCCTATCCACCAGAGTCAGGCCACCCGCTCCTCCTCTGGTTTCCTATGGTGAAATTCTGCACCACAGCTTCCCCTTCCCCAGCCTCACCCCTTACTGTTCCACACCGACAGGGAGGCTGAGGCTCTGGTCTGGGGAAGCACCTGTCTTTCCCGACCCTCTCTCCTGTTTGTGGGTGGTCCTGCTCCCTCTTCATCTCTGGGCCACACTCCTCCTCTCTCTCCAGACTTACTCCACCTGAGTCCACTGCCTCACGCCCCATTTCTTCTGACCCTCCCGAAGACTGTGCCCTTTCCCGTCTTTACTGAAGACATTATGGATGGGGCAGGTCTGCTCCCGCGCCTCCATGGTGCCCAAAGAGTACCCCAGGCCCCCGGTGACTCAGGTAACAGTCATGCAGGAAAAAGGAAGGCATAAAACTGAATACATTAGGGAAAGGGGAGCCATAAAGCAGCGAATACATCAGGCAAGGGGAAGGCATAAAACAGTGAACACATCAGGGACCACTCACCATTCCTGCCGTCCATCGGCACCTGGCTCAGCACGGTTAGGCCGACGAGGACATAGTAGACGAGTCCAAAGCAGTACTGCACGATGTGAATCACGGCGCTGGAAAAGACACTGACGTAGAGGCACTCGAAGAGTCTCCGCAGGCTGTGCAGCCACAGAAACACCAGGACTAAGAACGCGGACAGCGCCAACTCACCCCCTACAATTTGGAGAGCAACGCGTTCAGCATTTCTCTTTGCAGAGTTAATCCGGTATTATGTTTTCCCACGGGTTACACACAGAGTTACACAAAAGCAGAGCTAGGAAAGGGCCTAGAAATCGGCCAGGCTAACACTTCCCTCCTTTTTTTTTTTTTAGCAGTGGGAAAGTGGGCCATGTGAAGCCAAAATATTCGGCTCAAGATCACACAGTAAGCTAGGAACAGAGCTGGGCAAACTCGGGTCTCTTGGCTCAGCTCCATCCCGGCAAAGCCTTTGAGATGGCACGGAGCTCACCGTGCAGGGCCTGTGCCCAGAAACAGGGTCTGTGGGCCTCGGTCCCGGGCACTAACAGTAATGAGGATGGGAAGAGTTCCTGGGTGACCTCGTGGGACACCTGGGGTTCGGGGAGGCAAGAGACACAGGCACCCGCAGAGGCAGAAAGGAGGACAGAAACCGAGACAGGAAGAATTACGCGTTCCTTTCCATATTAAAAAAAAAAAGAAAGAAAATTATACTTTTAGGAGACTGTAGTCGCTGAGATCTATCTTCCTACCTGCCTTTCACTCTACCCCACATGACTGTTCAGTAAACCATTCGGCCCGCGATTTAGGCTGGATTTTAGATTTTGGCCCCTTCTCTGATTGAGTTCGACACCCCTACTCTACCCCAAAAGAAGTCAGAAGAAATGCTGTTTGTTTTTTTTTAAAGACTTTCTTTCGTGCTTTTTTGTTTGTTTGTTTTAATATATTTTATTGAAGTTTTACAGAGAGGAAGAGAGTGGGATAGAGTTAGAAACATCAATCAGCTGCCTCCTGCACACACCCCCCCCCCACAGGGTGTGCCCACAACCAAGGCACATGCCCTTGACCGAAATCGAACCTGGGACCTTTCAGTCCGAAGGCCGATGCTCTATCCACTAAGCCAAACAGGTTTTGGCTGGTTTTAAAAATGACATAAACCCAGCTGTTGTGGCTCAGTGGTTGAGTGTCAACCTATGAACCAGGAGGTCACGGTTTGATTTCTGGTCAGGGCACATGTCCAGGTTGAGGGCTCGATCCCCAGTTGGGGGCGTGTAGAAGGCAGCCGAACAATGATTCTCTCTCATCATTGATGTTTCTTTCTCTCTCTCTCTCTCCCTCTCTCTTCCCCTCTGAAATCAATAAAAATATGTTTAAAAAATATTATCAGAAAAACAAAATGAGATGAGTTTGAATGTGTGAAGCGGGATCCAGTGAGGTATGCTCCCCTCCCAGATAGGATCCGCATGTGCTCTTCCTTCTGACCATCATCTTTTGCAACAAGTTGCTCTGGTTACACAGAGAGGGATTGTTCCTGGGGAGCCAGGGGCGTGGCTGCTGAGCAGAGAGAGAAGGCACCAGAACAATGTTTCTAAGTCTGCCCCACCCCCTCTGCCTGCCCATCCCCCTCCGCCTGACATCTTTATCTGAGGCAAATTTAGTGTCTGTTTTGTAATCCTTTGGTCAGTACCTATTCACAGTCAGTGTTTATCAGGAAACCAAAGCCTTATGCTATAACATTTGTAACCGGTGATCAAATCTTTTAGCACGTTTCTGGAGTTCCAGGACACGGTTTTGGTTGGATGGGACACGTGATAAATGTTTCCAGGCAAACACAAGGGAATCCTTAAGAGCTTTTCTCCCAAGTCTAAAGACGTCTATGTAAATTTGCCAACAGGACAAACAGTAGGAGAGGGAGAGCAGCCAGCAGTGGCTGTGGAGTCAGGGATGAAGCGCTAACTCTCAGCTCCGCCGAGATCTCAACGGAAGACTCGGGAGGCATCCCCACGGGGGTGGGGTAGGAAGGAGGCAGAACCCCTTTTGCCCTCAGTGGTCGTGAAATACCAAGAACAGCTTCCTGCAGGCGGGGAAGGCAGGAACAGGAAGCGGTGGTTGTGATTACCTCGGAACTGCGCGGCCCCGAGGATTCTGAGTAGAGTGTACAGCCAGTCTGGGAAGGGCGCTCCCAGGAACAGGCATTGAGTAAGGCACCAAAGCAGGAAGCCGTTCCACAGCACTGAGATGACGTAGAAGTGAGAGAAGTACCTGCAAAGGGAACACAAGGTAGGCCATTGTCAGGACAGAGCCCCTTTATTACATTACACAGAAAGACTATTCATTTTTTAAAATATATATATTTTATTGATTTTTTTTTTACAGAGAGGAAGAGAGAGGGATCGAGAGTTAGAAACATCGATGTGAGAGAATCATCGATCAGCTGCCTCCTGCACACCTGCTACTGGGGATGTGCCCGCAACCAACGTACATGCCCTTGACCAGAATCAAACCTGGGACCTTTCAGTCCGCAGGCCGACGCTCTATCCTCTGAGCCAAACCGGTTTCGGCAAGACTATTAATTTTTATTGCCTAAAGTTCTACATGTCTCCTTTTCCCCCCATTGATGCCCCCTTCCCCAGCCATTCCCACCCGGACAAGCCCCCCCACCCCAATGTCTGTCCATTGGTAAGACTACTTTTCAGTGTTCTTCTCTTCTTCCTCCCCATCCTCAGAGTCTAGTTACTCTTTAATAGAACCCGAATCCTACGGGTGTTCAGATTTCAAAACTTCCTTTCCAATGATGGGACCGGTTAACTCATAGGAAATCAGAGGCCTCCTGAGGTTAACAAGAATATGATTGGCGCTGTTCAGCTTGGACTGAGGTTCCGTTAGTAAGCTTGTTACAGAATACCAGAGACCTAAGCAACATTTAGAGAGATGGAGTTACATTTATTACCCATGGGTCCAGAGGAAAATGTCTCTCAAATTCTAGGCCCCAACATGGAGAAGCTTTCCCTATTTATATGTTTTTGCCTTCTTTGTCTCCCAAATATGGGGTGTTTTCAGCCCTCTTTGCAAGTTCTTAAAGAGCCCCTATGTGCTGGGGCCTTGAGACCTCAGCCAAAGGCCTGGCCTGGTGCCAGCACTGATAATTTCATCCGGGGAAAGTTTAATGGCCTCTCTCAAGTGGGAGTAGTCTTATTTTCCTTATTATTTAAACAAGTAAGCATTTACAGAAGCCAAAGAGCAGGGTTAACATTTCAAACAGCAGTTTTTATATAGGATGGATGCTTCAAGCTCTCTCATCTCTGGGTAACTGGACTGGGCTCAAGTTCCAAACTACTGGGTCCCAGTTCCTGGCAGAGAGAACTTGGACTGTGCTAAATGCAAGCAAATCTGTGAGATTTCTAAATCTGGAGCAACGTTACGGCCATAGCCATACAACTGTTACCCAAGATTTACACAATGACAGGCGCCCGAGGCTGTAAGAAAGCTTAGAGGTCTTCCGATTCGGTCTTCTAAGTTGTGCTGACCTAAATTACTTAGATGGCAAATATTAACTCACACAACTAGGCACCAGCTCCTGAGGGTTACAGCTCTCCTATCACGACAACGCTTATTTTGCACTCAACACAGTTACGGATGAAATACAAATAAAACCACAAAACCCACTGAAAATGGCAATGAGCCATGTTAATTGGATGGGAAAGATGATGTCAGTTTGCTGAAATGAAATCACCTAACATGGCACAGGGGCCTAGTGGTCCACTTGCTATGTTTCTCTGTCCAAACCGATTCAGACTCATTCTGACTTTGCAAGGTGCCTGGAGGTCATTGGCCTTCCCTGGTTTTCAGTGCCTCATGTATATACAGTAAGCCCCTTCCCTCTTGTCTCATTAGACCACATGTGTCAAACACAAGGCCCGCGGGCCAAATCCGTCCCGCCAGGCCTTGCAATGTGGCCCGCACCGCGCTGTCATCACTGCACTCCACTGCGTTTCCATCACAATGACAGTTTATGACTGTTCAGTAAACCATTCGGCCCGCGATTTAGGCTGGATTTTAGATTTTGGTCCCTTCTCTGATTGAGTTCGACACCCCTACATTAGACTGTGGCAAAGTAAGATGACCTGGAGTCAGGATTAAATATAAACCCAGGGACTCCTCTTCCAGATGATCCAGAATATTCTGTGCACCAGAACTCACAGTGCATCCAGACTATGCCCACAACCCCGTCTGACTAACAATGACCTAATATGATCATTCTGCAGTAACCCTCTTAATTCTCCCAACTACTGTTACAGATTCTGTATCACTGGATCTGCCCTCTCTGGACCGTCCTCTTCCTAATCCGGGTCTTCTCCAGGCTCATGAGCTTAGTGTCTTCAAATGTTCACGCATCAGTGTTAATTTCACAACCCACCCCCCACCACCCCCGCAGGCCACTGGCCTTTGATTGCCTTCCAGTGTTTTCCTTAAGACACACTTCCTAGTCATCGTCCTAATACATCAAGGTTGCAGGTTCAAGCTCTACTCAGGGCACATAAAAGAAGCAACCAATGAATGCATAAATGAGTGGAACAGTACATCCATGTTTTCCTCTCTTTATCTCTTTCTCTTCCTCTTTCTCTCTAAAAATTTAAAAGAAAAAAGAAAGACACACTTCCTAGATGTGAGGCCAGGCCTGGTCTCAGGCAGGAGCAGAACAGATGGCAGCAGCACCTGAAGGCGAGGGATCTGCTCCTGAAGAGCCGCTTTGCCTATTTCATTTTTTCACAAATATTTACCGAGCACTTAAAACATGCCAGGTACCGCTGCTGGAGCTGGGGACTCAGCAGGGCGAGATCAGACCAGGTCCCTGCCTGCCTTGACGATGTTTACCTTTCAGTGGCCAGTCCACAAATGAGCCTGTGGACATCCGGGCAATGCCAGGCGATGGCACCGAGGGGAGGTCCCCTGGATAGGTGGTCAGGGATGGCCTCTCTCAAAGTGGCTTTTGGCTAGAATGAGTAACCCCTGTGAATGTGAGGGGGAAGAACTTTCTAGGCAGAGGAAATGACAACCATCCAGGCCCCAGGGAGCAGCGAAGGACACCTGTGTGGAGAGGGCTAGGCGGTGAGGGGAAAGGTGTGCATGCTACAGGGTCTTGTAAGGACCCTGACTTTTATTGTGTGTGTGTGTGTGTGTGTGTGTGTGTGTATGCGCATGTGCGCACATGTGCATATGTGGAGTGAATTTGAGTAGAGTGACCTGAAGTAATAGTTTATGTTTTTAAAAATCCCTCTGGCTGACAGAAAAGTTTTGGAAACTGACAGTGGTGATGGTTGCACAAACATGTGAACATATTCAAAGCTCAACAAGGATTAAAACGGAAAATGTTAGGCCATGTACATTTTACCATAATAAGAAAGAGCATGACGCTGAAACCGGTTTGGCTCAGTGGATAGAGCGTCGGCCTGTGGACTGAAGGGTCCCGGGTTCGATTCCGGTCAAGGGCATGTGCCTTGGTTGCGGGCATGTCCCCAGTAGGGGGTGTGTAGGAGGCAGCTGATAGATGTTTCTCTCTCATCGATGTTTCTAGCTCTCTATCCTTCTCCCTTCCTCTCTGTAAAAAAAAAAAAAAAAAAAAAGCAATAAAATACATTAAAAAAAAGAAGAAAAAAAAAGAAAAGAAAGAAAGAGCACGACTCACTCATTGCACTATTCTTTAAGTTTAGAAAATAAAACAAAAGAACGTCCCTCTGGAAACCAGGTAGAGAATAATCTAGCCTGGGGGACACCCGTTAGGGTGATTGCACTTCATCCTCACAACCATCCTATACAGTGTACATGGCCGGCTCAGGAGGGCTGAGGTCCTCAGCCAGTCACACAGTGAGCGGCAGTGTTCGCTCAGACTCAGCCCTGATGGCTGGAGTTGCCGTCACACTGCTGTACTCCTATTCATGCCGTTCCGAACAGCCTGGGCCCGCTCTCCTGGCCCTGCGTTACACGTACCCATCTATTCCTTGTCTAAAGCCAAATAAATCACTAGAGCGTGTTTGGTATAAGCTGCTAAGCCACAACTTGCTGTGCCCTACTTATGCCATGGTGTTCCTGATGCACGGGCAGCCTGGGGCTCTCACGTCTGCATTTATACACCGAATGCTTGTTTTGTTTGCCTGGTTTCCCTCTAGAGAAAACATGTTCTACTTTGGGTAAGGTTGTATGTCTTGCTTTTTTTTTTTTTTTTTTTTTTTACTAGTAAAAGACCCAGCTCTAGCCTCTTGTTCCTCCCTTGGCACTTTGCTTCATGGAAGCACTGTTTTCCTAGCCCTGGGGAACATGGATCCGTATGGTAACCCAGGGCTTAACACGGAGCAAGCACTCCCTCTGATTAAGCACATATTTTCAGGCTTATTATAAGCCAGGGACTGCTCGAGGCTCTGGGGATACAACAATGAACACGAGAGACGACAATTCCTGCCTCTATGGAGCTTATCCTCTCACACAAAGTCAATTTTACAGCATGCCAGGAGGCGGTAACGATTACTGAACAGACTAAAGCCGGGAAGAGAAGAAGGGGTGCTAGGATGATAGAATGTATTTTTAAACAGGACGGGCAGGGCACACCTCATTGAAAAGGTATTTGGGCAGAATTATAGGAAGTGAGAGCATAAGCCATGTCGCTATTTGGGGGCAAAGCTTCCCAGTTAGAGCAAACAGGCAGTGCAAAGGCCCTGAGGTGGAGAGAGGACTAGCAGAGAGGCCCATAAAACTGGATGGGAGCCACAGGGGGAGGGGGGAGAAGGGGAAGGGGAGAGGAGAGGAGCGAGAAAAGGGGGGAGACTACAAGAAACAAAGTCAGTGAGGTGGTGGGGACAAGGGTCTTGGGCTGGTCCTGTGAGTTGGAAGCCACAGAATGGTTTTGGGCTAGGAGACATGATCTGACTTAATACACATTTGCTGACTGCCAGCACTGAGGCCAGGCCCAGAAAGGGGTTAAGGGATTGACTAAGAAAGGAAACTAATGTTCCTTTGGCTAAGGCCCTGGCCCTGGGATAAGTGCTTTAATGTCATCTCCACCTACATGACAAGCAGGAGCTGTTATGCTGACATTCCAATCCATACACCACCTCTGACTGACCCTATAATGTCCTCTTATGCAGTCTTTCCCTCACAAGAGCTAGTCATCCTTTCGAAACATAGATCACTTCTGGGAATACGTCTGAAGAAACTGGAAACACTAATTCAAGAGAATATATGTACCATGGTGTTCGTAGCAGCGTTATTTACAATAAACAAGACATGGAAGCAGCCCAAGTTTCCATCAGTAGATGAGTGGATAAAAATACCAACTGTGGTACATTTACACAATGAAATATTTACTACCCGGTGGTTAAAAAAAAGAAGGAAATCTTAACCTTTTGCGACAGCAGGGATGGACTTGGAGAGTATTATGCTGGTGAAATAAGCCAGTCAGAGAAAGACAAGCACAGTATCACATGATTTCACTCAAATGTGGAATCTAATGAACAAAATATACAAACAAAATAGAAACAGACTCATAAAGGCATAGAACAGACTGACAGCTGTCAGAGGGGAGAGGGTTTAGGGGACTGGGTGAGAAAGGTGACGACGGGATTAAGAAAAAAACATAAGTCACACAAGGCCATACTCCCTTCCTCACCCTAAAGCCATAAGCGGCTTTTGGCACTCTCAGAATCAAAGCTAATCTCTGCGGAGGCCTGTAAGGCTCCGCTGAGCAGTGAACTCACCTCCTGCCCCACCCTCCCCATCATTCTTCCAGCTTTGCCGCTGCTGCCCCGCCAGTCCAGCTCTGGATCAAGTAACCCTGCTGGATTCCTCTGGAGCACTTATTGACACCTGAGATTATGTTGCTTGTTTTACAAGATTCGTTTATACATTTACCGTACATCTTATAAGAACAAAAGCTCCAAGGAGCCTAGAGTAGCTCCTGGCATACAGTAATTCTCTATAAGTACTAGTCAAAAATGAATGAGAGAAGAAAGCTCTCTCATCTAAAGTAACTCTCAGAGCAAGCGCCCAAGTTAACTAATAATCTGATTCAACCTAAAACCTTAAAAAAAAAATCTTTCAGCCTAAACCGGTTTGGCTCAGTGGATAGAGCGTCGGCCTGGGGACTGAAGGGTCCCGGCTTCAATTCCGGTCAAGGGCATGTACCTTGGTTGCGGGTACATCCCTTGTGGGGGGTGTGCAGGAGGCAGCTGATCGATGTTTCTAACTCTCTATTCCTCTCCCTTCCTCTCTGAAAGAAAATCAATAAAATATATTTTAAAAAAATCTTTCAAAAGATATTGATCAAGGACCTTATTATTTCTCAGGCATTGAATCAGGGATATGGTTACAAACAAGACAAATTTAACGCATGGAAAGTGTAGAGTTCATATTTCTTCCATGAACGGGCTCCTTTGGCAATTATGATGAAGGCTAGAAGCCCCCTTTCAAAATGTTATGACAAGCATAAAAAACGTGGGGGTTACATAGGAAACCAAATGTACGGAAATATAGGTAACACAACTAACTAATAAACAAGTCTTTGATATAGAAATAATCGTGTTTCTTAACTAATGTAACAAATAACAAGATCTGGTGGAAAATAACTGCAGTATCCTTGCAGAGATGAGAATAATGTTTTGAGGCCTCCAATATTTTATTTTTTATTTTTATTGATTGATTGGTTGATTATGGTATCACATAATTGTCCTCATCCCCCCATTCCCATCCCAAACCCCTCCCTACATATGCCTCCACCCCACCTGCTGTCCATGGAGGCCTCCAATATTTTTAATGTAATATAAAAAACTCCTATACCTCTACCATGTCCTGCATTCAAAGTAAAAGAGAAAAACCCCAAACCAAAAAAATCAAACTATAACTCTGGCAATGTCAAAGAATTCTATTTAAGTCACCTAACACTGTCCTCTTTGATTGATTTTGGTTAAGAAACCTATGAAAAGCCAAATGGAGCCTCGGCATCGGGCTTGCCTAACGTGCACCATCACAGACACAGCTCCAGGGGCATCTGCCCAGGGGCGGGGTGGGAGGGTCAGTGCCGCGGGAGCAGGTGGCGCCCGGCCTGGGGACCAGCATCTCGCCCTTCCTCCAGGCTACCAGAGTGGAGGGCAGGGGAGGCAATGGAAACAGAGGCGCAAAGGGCGGGCCTGCCTTCCTTTCTGGTGAGTTCTGGGGACCTCAAGTAGACTGTAAGCCCCGAGAGTGGGTGCAGGGGAGAGGGAATGGGGGGACTTTGGAGGCAAAGGAGACTTTAATTTGCCTTTTGGCGACCAGGCCTAGATTCAGAAGCGTTGCCATTGATTTCTCCCAAGGGAAGGGCTCCGTGCGGTCACCAGTGCACCTTCCTGCGCCCCTGGGAGGGCACGTGGCTCAGCTCCCCGGGGTCGGCGGGCATTCGGGACGTGTCGTCCCCAGGGCCCCCGAAGCGAGCCAGCGGGGGGACCCGGCGAAGGTGCCGGTGGGAGAGCCAGCCCCGGCCGCCCCGCCCCGCGGCCGCCTCTGCTGCCCCCTGCTGGCGGCGCGAGCCGGGCGCCCCGGGCCCGCGCCGGGGCCGCCCGGGCTCAGCCCGGGGCGCCGTTACCTCTTGGGGACCTCGAAGCTGCGGCAGAGGGCCGGGCGCGGCGGCGCGGCCCCCCGGGTCTTCCCGTAGCGGATCAGGTCCTGGAAGAGCGCGCAGCCGGGCAGCAGGCGGGGCGGCGCGAGCTGCAGCAGCAGGGCCAGCAGGAAGGCCAGCAGGAAGGCGGCGGCCAGCGCCAGCCACACCACGCGCAGGGGGCTCAGCCTCCAGAGCGCCGCCCCGGCCCACGGAGCCATGGCCGCGCCGCCGCGCTCCCGGCCGCCGCCAGCGGGCGCGCCCCCGGCCCTCGCGCCGCGCGCCGGGCTCGGGCGGGACTTGGTGACGCGGCGCGGCGGGCGCGCGCATTGATCCTCCGGGGACCCGCCTGCGCCGCGCGCGATCCCGGGATCTGTCCCTCCTCTGACTCAGGGATTCCCAAATGCAACGATTCAAAGAAGCGAAACTAACTAGGCCTGCACGTCTTCTTCACCTCTTTATTTTCACTGGAAAACATAGAAACAACCCAGTGCCATTGAAATGGCTCCCAAGCCAGTCTGTGTGGAAGGAATAAAGAAAGACATACAAATGGTCAATAGACACATCAAAGTCTCAGGCATTAAAAAAAAAAAAAAAGCCAAAACAGGTTTGGGTCAGCAGATAGAGCATCGTCTGCGGACTGACAGGTCCCAGGTTCGATTCCGGTCACAGGGCATGTACCTTGGTGGTGGGCACATCCCTAGTGGGGGATGTGCAGGAGTCAGCTGGTCGATGTATCTCTCATTGATGTTGCTGGCTCTCTATCCCTTCCTCTCTGAGGGAAAAAATATATATATATATATATATATATATATATATATATATATATATATATATATATATATATATATGTCTCAGGCATTACCCATCCGAAAAATAAAAATCTATACTTCAATGAGATGCAACTTCACAGCCAGTAGGATGGCTATATCTTCAATAACAAGTGTTGTGGAGAAATCAGAACCTTCCTATATCTCTGGTGGGAATATAAAATGGAGCATCCACCTTGAAAAAAAGAGGAATTTGCTCAGAAAGCTAAACCTACCGGTGCCATTTAATGATTTCCCTCCCAGGTATATATAATCACAAGAGTTGAAAACATAGGTTTGAAGAAAAGCTTGACCATGGATGGTCATAGCAGCATTATTCAAAATAGCCAGAGGTGCATACAATCCAAATGTCTATAATCAATATGTAGTATATCCTCACCATGGGAAATATTTGGCCATAGGAGGGAATGGAGGACTGATGCCTGCGGCAATATGGATGAACCTTGAGAACGGAACAAGTAAAAGAAAGCAGCCATAAGAGACCAGATAACAACACGTTGGGATTTGAAGGGGGGTAATTTAGACTCCCCTCTTCCTCTTCTAGTGCCCAAAATGGCCATCTTACGTAGAACGTGAGACCTATCCTCTGGGAAAAGCTAGAGCCCAGAGTCTGCCTCCCAGTCTCAGTTTTGTTTCTCAAATTCATTGAGCAGGTGAGTCATCCTCTCTCCCGCAGGGAGGAGTGAGTGCTGGGGACTGGAAAAGATGCCAGATATGGCCCTTCCATTTTTTTTTTTTTTTAATCTTGGTAATCCCTCCAAACATTGATTGGCACTAAATAATGTCTCTATTCATTAATTTACCAAATGCTTATTGAACACCCACCATAGGCAAAGTGTATAGTGAGGACTATATATGATATGTAGACTGGGTTGGATGGCTTCAGAGAACAAATGTTTTGGTTGGGGGTTGACAACGCTAAGCAGCTGAACAGTTAAACCACAATCAGCCGCTTTCCGTGTTGTGTATTCCAAGTCTGGTCAGAACTCCTTTTGGCTCCATTTCCATGGACTTCTCTGGTGATCTCATGTCTCAAGGACTGAAATAAGGGTGCCAACCTCAACCTTTCCCTTGAACTCTGTCCTAGTCTAATTTTTCAAGAATGAATATTTTAAAACCATCTTAAATTCATTTCTGAAAGAAATCTCAGATTTTTCCTCTCTTGATCCTGCCTTCAGCCAAATCTACTCATGTCTCAGTTTCTCCAGGAACGGATATCTCCATTGCTCAAAAAACTCGAAGTCTTCCCAGACACTGCTTCTCACCCACCTGCAAATCCTGCTAGTTTTACCTTCAAAATATGTCTAAATTTGATACCATTTCATTAGCTCCAACATACCATCCTGGTCCAAGTCACCATGACCTGCCTTGATTATTATAATAATCTTCTAACTCCAGCTTCTGCCTTGGTCCCTACAGTCTATTTCCAACACCGCAGCTAGAGTGATTCCTTCCAAAGGAGAACTCAGATCATGTCACGTCTCTGCCAAACCCTCTAGTGGCTTTTCCTTGTAATGAAAGGCACATTCGAAGTTGTACATGGTCTTATCTGGTCTGGCCCCTCTATCTCTCTGACTTCATCTCTTGCTCTTGCCTGTGTTCACGCCTCTCCTCACATGCACACTGGCCTCCGTGCTGTTCTTCAACCTGCTAAGCATGCCCCTGCCTTAGGGCCTGTGTACTTTTTAAAAATACATATACTGTATGTTATTGATTTTTTACAGAGAGGAATGGAGAGTGATAGAAAGTTAGAAACATCGATGAGAAAGAAACATCAATCAGCTGCCTCCTGCACACCCCCTACTGGGGATGTGCCCACTACCAAGGTACATGCCTTTGACCAGAATCAAACCCCGGACCCTCCAGCTCCCTGGCCGATGCTCTATCCACTGAGCCAAACTGGCTAGGCCGGGCCTGTGTACTTTTGTTCCATTTGACCAGGCAGCCCTCTCCCAGATATATGCATGGCCTCCTCCCTTGCTTTTTTTTTCAGGTTCCCACTCAAAATTAAGAGAGACCACCCTATGTAAAATAGTCTTGCCTTCTTTTGCATTTCCTTCCTTGATATCCTCTGCATCACTCAGCAGAACCGGATGTGCCATATATTTCATCATTTATGTGTTTATTGTTTGTTTCTTCCATGAGAGTAAATGTGGCAGGAGGGCAGGGATTGGTTTATTGGTATTGTTTTTCTCGTACCTTTTGTCAGTGCCTGGCATATAGGTGCTCAACAAATGTTGTTGAATGAATGAGTCATTCCATGTCTATTTGAGATATCAGTAGAAGAGATGTTCTAAGGCAGTTCATAATGTCATTGCCAAATTAATGAAATGTAAGTTAATATTCTGGCCTATTATTTTTATTATTACCATTCTAATAATTATGTGCAACAGTCATTGTTCATTATTACGTATGACAAGCAGGATTGATGTCCTATTATTTTATTTAGGTTAATAACAAAACCTGAAATGAGTAATGGATAAAACATGAGGAAATAGGACAATTGAAAGGAAGAGAGTGGGAGTTAAACTTTCCTTCCTATATGACTTACATCATTTAAAATAACTCCAATAATGTGCTTCCTAGTCTACTTAGTATATTCAATTCATGTAACACAGAAATTCATTTCCTATGTTAAAGCTACAGTTATCAGTTGGCACACAAAAAAAGTGATTTTTTTTATGAGAGAAAACATTTGGGCCATATGTACAGTGTACTGGAAATTGATTAGGCTTGATGAATCTGTTTCAGTAAAAATCTTTTCAAAAATGAGTGAAACTATTTTTAACAACCTCCGCTCCTTGGAATTACTTGTCAATATTAATTTACCTGGAACCTCCACTTTCTATATGATGGATTTTATTTTCATGAGCAAAATTAGTATCTATTTGAATATTTTCTTAATAATGTGCTTAAGTCCAAAGAAATTTTAACAGTAAAGCTGTACTAATTTTAGCTATAGTTAAATCCTTAAGTGTTTTCCTATTCTTTACATTGTTACCACACAATGTAAAGGAGGGGACGTTTCCCGCGGTTTAGAACCTAATCTATGGAAACTAATCTGTGCATCCAGCACACTATTCAAAGCCTTCTCTGTGCTGAACACATTGTGAGGAGCCGGACATTCAAAGAATGAATCAGACCCACCCACAAGAAGCTGAGTTACAAAACTGAAATTCTTTCTTTCACCTTCTTACTAATCCTAAAGGAATTAGTCTCTAACTTGTTTTTACTGACTCAGCAGTAGACACATTATTAATTCCAGGAATCAAAACCTTCCCTCCCTTTTTTTTTTAAACCACCAAGGAGGTTATTTGTAGGAATAGTTTAGAAAGCACGGGTTTTCTCCATTCTTGTGGAGTAACTTGGTTGCACAAGTGCTAAGGAATACCCTAGAATTCTGTATCCCTGAGGACACTATTTCCTTATCTGTTTACAATAATATGTTTTATTTCCGTGCTAGTGAAGCAGCAGTCTGTTTTATTTTTATTCCACTAGATGGAAGGGTCTGCAGTAGAGGGTGGGGTGTGTGGAAGTTTCAAGACCACTGGGGAATCAGGCGTCAGGGCAGCCAACTAGATAACCACGAACAAGCCAAGCTACCACTCTGGGCCTCAGTCTATTCATTTGTTAAATGAGGCGGATGGATGACACAGCAAATCTCAAAAAAAAACTTAATATACATATCAGTCACCTGGGGATTTTGTTAAAATGCAGATTCCTGTTCAGTAGGTTGGGGATGGGGCCTGAGATTCTGCATTTCTAACAAACTCTTAGGTGGTGAATGCAATCCAGGCTGCTGGTCCATGGCCCACGTGAGTGACAAAGGTGAGATCAGCATTGCCCAATAGAAAGGTAATATGAGCTGAAACCGGTTTGGTTCAGTGGATAGAGTGTCAGACTATGGACTGAAAGGTTTCGGGTTCGATTCTGGTCAAGGTTATGTACCTTGGTTGCAGGCACATCTCCAGTAGGGGGTGTGCAAGAGGCAGCTGATCGCTGATTGTTGATTCTCTCTCATCCATGTTTCTAATTCTCTATTCCTCTTTCTTTTTTTCTGTAAAAAGAAAAAAAAAATCAATAAAATATATATTAAAAAAAAAGAAAGCTAATATGAGCTGCAAATGTAATCTTAAATTTCTAAAAGCCACATTGAAAAGATCAAGATAAAAAGTTAAAACTAATTGGGATAATATATTTTATGTAATTTCATAATAGAAATATTATTTTAATATGTTGTCAATGTAAAAATTATGAATAAGATATTTTACATTATTTTTTCATATTAGGCCTTTGAAATCTGGTCTGTTTTACACTTGCCACACATCTCCATGTGGACTAACCACATTTCAAATACTCAGCAGCCACATGTGTGCTACCTACCACTTATACAGCTCATTTCAGTGCTAATAACATTCTCCAATTCATAGCTTACATTGTAAATAGACTC